AGGGAAGGACAATGGACAGCTTGTGAAGGACAACAGAATCACACTGCCATTCTGCAAGGGTAGTAGCAGGTACAGGACAGAGTCACACATTACATTCATCTTTCTTCTTTGTGCCTTAACAAACACCATTGAACCATGTTGACATCTCACACATGGTTTCTGTTAATCTCACTGGGTAGTTACGAGAATCCTATGGTGGCAAGCGTTTGCGCTCCTTCTGGGAAGTGGGAAATAGCTCATTCCAGACAGGTTAGGTTTAGGTTTAAAAATCAGCTTGGAATGTGATTGTCGGAGCATAGCCTTTTCATACTATTTCCAGAGTCTACAATCATAACATAGGAGGTGTTCATACCATACAAGTGCAGTCTAGAAAATAGCACTGTTTTCTATAGGGTGACACAATGCTCTGTGATACTTGTATGTTTTATCTTCAAAAGTATGAGTCTTGGTTTTTATTCTTTACCTTACGTTATCTTATCCAAAGGTAATATTTTTTCTGATTCAGAAAATCCACACAAAACCAAACTTCATATTTTACATTTGTATTTTAGAAATGAGAAAAGGAAAATTAATTTAAAATAAAACATTTAAAAATTAAAATATTACTCTTTAATTCTCGCTCATATAAACCCTCTTTCTGGTTGGATAAAGCACAGGGACAAATAGCCAAACGAATGGAAACACATGAACTATGAACCAAAGGCTGAGGGGTCCCCAACTGGATCAGGCCCTCTGAATAGGTGAGACAGTTGATTGGCTTGATCTGTTTGGGAGGCATCTAGGCAGTGGTACCAGGTCCTGGGCTCATTGCATGAGTTAGCTGTTTGAAACCTGGGACTTATGCAGGGACGCTTGGCTCAATCTGGGAGGAGGGGACTGACCTGCCTGGACTGAGTCTATCAAGTCGATCTCAGTCCTTAGGGGAGGCCTTGCTCTGGAGGAGGTGGGAATGGGGGGTGGCCTGGGGGGAAGGGGAGGGGGGCAGGAAGGGGGAGAACAAGGGAATCTGTGGCTGTTATGTAGAACTGAATAGTATTGTAAAATAAAATAAAATAATAATAAAAAATAAATAAAAAATATTACTCTTTAGAGTGCAATTTTTTAACATTTTAAAAATTGAAAATAAGTTCTTTTCTCATACAATACATTTTGACCACAGTTTCCCCTCCCTCAATTCCTCCAAGCTCTCCCCATTTCCCCTCTCTCCCAGATCAACTCCTCTTCCATTTCCTTTCAGAGAAGAGCAGGCCTCCAAGCAGCAACAACCAAACACAATAAAATGAGATACAATAAGACAAGGCAAAAGCCCTCATAATGAAGCTGGGCAAGGTAACCGAATTGGAGGGTTTCAAGAGCAGGCAAAGGAGACAGAGACACACTGAGCCCACTGTTAGGAGTCTCACAAAAACACCAAGCTAATGGCCATAACCTACACAGAGGACCTGGAGAAGACCCCTGCAGGCCCCATGCTTAGGGCAAACAACTCTTAGAAGCAGTGGCCACAAATTAAATTATTTATTCTTTGGTGATAGCAGACTTGCCTAACAGATCAAGGAGGGTTGATGTCAAAAGAATCAGGAGCAAGGATGGAGACAAGGAATGAGACAATGGTCCTGGAGTTTGTGCTGGAGGGGTTCCATGTGGCTCAGCACCTGGGCAAACTCCTCTTCCTGGTGCACCTACTGGTATATCTGGCCTCAGTCATGGGAAACACACTCATAATCGTCATCACCTGGACTGATCCTCGCCTGCAGACCCCTATGTACTTCTTCCTCAGAAGTTTCTCCTTCTGTGAATGCTGTTTCATCTCCACTGTAATTCCCAAACTGCTGTCTATCTTTCTTTTTGGAGACAGAGCAATTCATTTCACTCCTTGTATTATACAAGCTTTTTTCTTTTTGTTTCTTGGGTCAACTATTTTCTTCCACATGGCTGTGATGTCCTTGGATCGCTACCTGGCCATTTGCAGGCCTCTGCACTACCCAACCATCATGAACCCCAGGGTCTGCCTCCTTCTGGTTTTCTTCAGCTATGTGCTTTCCTTCGTCCTAATAACTGGTGTCATTCTGAAGCTGTCCTGGTTGTCTTTCTGTGGCTCCAATGTCATCCCCCATTTCTTCTGTGACCTTGGCTCCTTAATTCATCTCTCCTGTTCCGATACCAAATCTCTTGATAGAATGGCTTTTGGTGTCGCTTTGCTTGTCCTTTTCACATCTGTCATCACAGCTGTATTTGCATATAGCAACATACTAATCTCAATCATGCGTCTCCCATCAGCCAAGGAGAGACAGAAGGCTTTCTCCACCTGCTCCTCCCACCTCATCGTCCTCTCGCTGATGTATGGCAGCTGTGTGTTTATATACGTGAAACCAAAGCAAACAAGTAGGCTAGAATCCAACAGAGAGGCTGCTCTTGTGAACACAGTGGTGACACCACTTCTGAACCCTGTCATCTACACCCTGCGCAATAAGCAGGTCCACCTGGCTCTGAGGGATGCACTGTCCAGAGTGAACTTTCAGAAATAGTACCACCTGCTTCAGAAGGTGAGTCTTCTTGGTCCTCTAACTGCAGCTCCCCTACAGTGGAAACCCTCTCTATAAAATGTCTGTATGGTGGTCCAGTTTATGCTAATTTCACTAGATCCCTGCTCCCTTATCTTTAAAAATTGAAAACAACAACAACAAAAATTTGTTCACCACATTGTGATGAAAATTTCTTCCTTCATTTCTATTCATTGGCCTTATATTAATTCAATTCAGACAGCATTTATGAAGAGCCTAATAAATATTCATCAAACAATTGCCCTCTTTATATTTGTGAGCCATGTCTGCAGGTTGCATGGATTGTATGCAAATGTTATATCACTTTATATATGGGTCTTGAACATCCATGGATTTTGTTATTCATGAAGTTTCTGGAAATGGTCCTGAAAGGATGTTGACAGATAAGACTCACACTAAGCCATTCAGCTAAAAAATAAGTTTCCAGTTAGATTCAATATTTGTTGTGTACAATACATTCTTTTGCTTGAATTTTCTGATATGTAAGGACAAATATATAAAATTTCTTCTTTATTTACTGAAATCAACATATAAAACTTCAGAAACAAATTGGGTTTGAGACAAATCAACAATCAACATTTATTTTTCTCTTTGGATCCATTTGTTTTAGAGACATAAATAGTTTAGTGTAGCTGAGTGCTTGATATGCATACTTTAAATTTATCATTATCCAGATGTACTACATATTATTGTTATTTTGCTTTAATAGGTTCTTGAAGCAAAAAAAAAAAAAAATGCAAAACCTCTTAGCATATGAATCTTTTTTCTTGAATCTATTTAGATCGCAAAGGCCTGTACCAATTAGGTTGCTAGAAGACGGTCCCATACCAGTTTCTATCTTCTCATGTAAGAGATATTTTCTGCTAATGTAATTTTAAGCATCTGCCAATGATGTTTTAGATTAAGTCAAATTCTGGCTGCCATTTTATACCACAAATTAGTAGAACTGACAGTCATAAAAGTTTAGTACACACACACACACACACACACACACATGAATTAATAATAAAATGCATTAAAATCAAGTTAGTCATGGTTCTTACTTTCCCTGAAGAAGTGGCTCATAGGAAATCTAGGGCAAAGTAGACTTGATTATCCATATGCTTGATCTCTCTCTCTCTTTCTCTCTCTCTCTCTCCCTCTCTCCCTCTCTCTGTGTATTATTAAAGTGTACATTTCCTTTTCTAGATATTTGAAGTGAATTATTATTAATTTAAGGCATATTAATTATTAATTATTTTAAGGTATAATCTGATAAAAAAAAAAACCTTTAGACTTTCAAAGTCTGTTGAGTTACAAAGCTTTTTACATATGGAAAAGACTTGATTATAACTGTCCTGAGACTTA